TAATCATCTGCAAAGAAGAGCTCTCAGAATTCTGGCCTTCCAGAGTAGACACACACATACACACACACACACACACACACACACACACACACACACACACACACAAAAAAAAAAAAAAAAAAAATTTATAAGACTTTAGTTTTTAAGGTTGTTTTTCTTTTCTTTTTTGTTTGAACCAATTTCTTCAACTTTTAACAAAAGAATGAAAAAACATTATTGCATAATTCAGCTAAGAAAGCAGCTACTGGCAGATGTTATAAATTTCTGCTGTAAGTTTAACATTGTACAAAGTGACAAAGTGTAAAACTGAAAAAAAAAAAAAACCATAACAATGATGGAAGGGTGCAGTGCATATTGCAGATAGATCAGATTTGTAAACTCTTAAAATCCTTCAACCTAAGGAAACTTGTGTTGGGCAGGTTTGAGAGAAAAACAATACTTTCTTAAGCTGATGTCTGAGTGATGGGGTGAATTCTAACCTGTCTAAGAGTAAAAAGTGAGGTGGTATAGAAAGGGGCAAAAAATGTATATTAGGTGTTGCTTAATTGTGTCGTGAATATAGAAAGAATGCTAAGTGACATCTGCAAAGACAGCAGGGTGACAAGTGCCAATATTAACCAAGTGTTTAAATAAAGAGCCCCGGAATAACCAGGAATATTAGCAAGAAGTTAATGGGCAACAGCTTGCAAAAGTAAAAATACATTTGTGAGGGTGCACTGAGGCTGCAGATGTTCGACCTGTGTAGACTTCGTCATGACAGGGAGCAGTGGAGTAGATAATAATAATGTCTGGTATTCATAAAGCATCTGTCTTTGGGGATTTCAAAGAGCTTTGGGTGTGTATTACTTCATTCAGTACTGCCCCTTTTATCTGGAGTGATCTGGATAGTAGCGATGGGGGATGTGGCCAGCATGCCGTCTGGGGGCTCTGTCATGCATTTAATGACATGAAGGCAAAGGGTCTGGGGCAAAGGGCGTTTGGGGTAGCAAAGAAGCTCATTGATTTTGTGCTCTGAAATTTCAGCTGGAAACCAGCTATGACTACTCTCAGCATGATCTTTGCATATGAGTTTGAAAAGTGATGAGGAGGCAGGAGAGATTAGAAGGCTAGGAAGAAGGATTGTTTTGATGTAACTGAGGTGGCACAGATGCAGCGGCCTTCAAATTCGTACTGTGTTTTGAGAAAGGGGAATTGGCTTCCTTATGCATCGCTTCTGGGCTTTCAGGTTTCTGCAGAGTAATATTCTTTACTGTTGACATGGCAGAGCAGGGGGTCATGGAATTTAGGCAGTGGAAGAGAAAAGGCAGTACATCAGTTCAGTTTTGGCAGCTTCCCTGAACATTGTCAGTAGAATTTGAATGCCTTCTTAACAAGAAGAAACAGAGTTAGAGTCAGAACAAGGCAGGAAGGAACAGTTCATGAGGAAGTGAGCAGGTGCCAGGAAGTGGTACATCTAAAGGTTGAGGCAAATTTGTTGAGAGTGGACATTAGAATTTTCTGGGAATAAGGAGATGCAATAAGGAAAAGAGCATTTTCCTTCAAAATGAGTCTTTTAGATAGCTAATAAGATATCTCTTACTAAATAAACAGCATGTATTTGACTGAAAATACTATTTTATGTATAATAAGGCCTGTCTCCGCTCTTGCTAGTGGGGCATATCTTGCACACTCTAATCATGATATGATCTACACTCATTTCGAAAAAGATGTGCTCATTGGTCCTTGCTATACAGAAGCTGATGATAATCAGGAAAGTTTAAGCTCTACGTAATTCTTGTAGGTAAATATAGTCCTGAGATTTATAGCTGATGCTTTCTACTGAAATAATAAGATTTCCAAAAGCCCATGATCACTCTCTGTTCAGTACAGAGCCAAACTGTAGCAATTTAATTTTGTATCTTCCCCTAAGCTCCTGTGTGAAGGACCAATCCTGTAGAGGAAAATGGAACTGCACTGATGCTTTCCAAAGTTGAAAATTGTTGCCTTAAAATCATATAGCCATCAGTGCCTACATTCAGAAGGGCTAGTGAGAAAAACTTGCCAACGCTGTATCTTTGATCCCTTCAGAAGTGGAAGCTGTAGCCAGTATAGACCATTTCCTGTGTTATTCTGCCGCAATCCTGAATAGATTCTGCATCTTTGTACTCATAGTAAAACCACTGATTAGAGTCAGGGCCACGTCAAACAGCCATAGTCTGCAGAGAATGCACATAGACAATTAATGAAAAGTGAGCAGTCTTGACATTTTTCATATTGCAAGTGGAAACGTGTGGGATCTTATCACTTCATCAGCTCTCCAGCACAAGGACAGTTCTGAGCACAGTGCTAATCACTGTTCCAGAGCACACATACTTCTCCTTTTCCAGATTTTTTTTAAACACATACAAAAATGCCTGCAGACAACAAGCAGAGCTGCTCACATGCCAAATCCCATTAATAACATGCCACAATGGCTGATTCTTTCCACCACTGACCTTGCAAATTTTATCCAAAGTACATTGACCTCACAGTGTCATGCCAGGGAGTCCCTGCTCAATTTCTAAGTATCAACAGGGCTGCTCAGACATAAAATCACTGGGTTCAAAGAATAAAGCCAGTGCCTGGTGATTTGAAAAGAAGTGGGTTCTATGGTATGAGGATTTTTAAAAAAAAATTAGGATTATGATTTGATCTAAATAAATAAATAAATAAATGAGCAAGTAATAACATGAAGCTATCTTTTCAACTTTCTTGTGCAGTTCAGCTCGGATGAGTTGGCAGTCTGTATATGCTGGCATGGACTTAAACAATCATAGACTTCACAACTAATAAGGAAGCAGAATAGTATAGAACTTGCAGAATTTGGCAGCTACTGCTAAACATAAGAGTTTAAAACTATCTGTTATGAGAATGACTTGTAAGTTCCAAGGAACAGTACAGGAGAGCAATCAGCCATGCACCCAGCTTCCATTTTTATACCTTTTCTTCATTTCTCATGCCAATTCATAGGGAAGCTACATGGCTTTCTGTGCCAAAACAATGCCACCCACACTTGGTCTAATTTACAGAATAAATGCATCACTGCCTTTATTATTTCCATGATAAAAGCAGCTTTTAAATGTGTTGAAAGTTCTGAGGTTAAAACATTATTATAGTTGTCTTTAAATATTCCATTGTGATACTGAAGGTTTTTTCTTCTATAGAACTGCTGATGTTTTAACACAGTTTCTAAAAGAAAAGATTCACCTCAAATAAGAACTTTAAAGCAGCAGTTAATACACTGATGAAAATGCACACCTATTAATTTATGCTTGGGGAGTAAATTGATAAATACAGCCAGACATAAGTGAAATGTCACAATTGCCACCAGAAGATAGCACGGTCTTAGAAAGTGTAGTGACTTCCTTGAAGCTCCAGTAATATGTTTTCACATGATCAAATCTGCTAAGGGAATCAATTGTTCTTTGTGCTTTGTTGTCCATATACAACTTAGGATATCAAAGTCTTATACAACACAGGCAATGGAGGCCTAGGCCTGGATAGGAAGGTGTAAATGATTATAAATTGATATTTTCAATTCTCATAGCAAACAGTTTAATCATTGAATAAATAGAAATATCACACTGTTGTTTGAAAGGAAGTCTTGGCACAGCTTGACTGTACCAAGAGGGAACCTCAGTTGAGAAATTATTTCTGTAAGATTGCCTGTAGAGCATTTTCTTGAATACTGATTGTTGTGAGATGTCCCAGTCCAACATGGGAAGTTCAGGGTGATATAAACCAAAACCAAAACAAAACAAAACAAAAACACAATAAGAAATATTCCACAAACACTGAACGAGACACGAGGAACAAGTCAAAAGCAGCATTCCTCCATGGTTTCGGCTTTAAGGTTCCTCTTCTAGGTTCTTCCCTTAAGTTTCTGCTTTGGCTTTCCACAATGGACTCTTACCTGGGTTATGTAAGCCAAATAAACTCTTTCCTCCACAGGTTGGTTTTGGTCATGGTTTTCATCAAAGCAATAGGAACCAAACACAGACACATATGTTCCCAGGATTGGGCTATGCTAGAGCTCGGAGCATGGATACTCAAATAGATATATAGCACCATTCCTTTCTCCTGAGTACTTAGTGCAATTATACGGGCAAACAGAAATATGTATTAAATCATGGAACATTTTGGACTTAGCCCTTAAGCAAAATAGCTGGTAGCTAACTTTTTTTTTTTTAATTTTACAATACAATTCGGTTCTATATATAGGCCACTGATTCCCTTGTTCTCCCCCCTCCCGACCCTCTCCCCTTCCCCCCAGCACACTCTCCATTCCCACCTCCTCTAGGGCAAAGCCTTCCCTGAGGACTGAGATCAACCTGGTAGACTCAGTCCAAGCAGGTCCAGTCCCCTCCTCCCAGGCCGAGCCAAGCGACCCTGCATAAGCCCCAGGTTTCAAACAGCCAACCCATGCAATGAGCACAGGACCTGGTCCCACTGCCTGGATGCCTCCCAAACAGATCAAGCCAATCAACTGTCTCACCCATTCAGAGGGCCTGATCCAATTGGGGACTCCTCAGCCATTGGTTCATAGTTTATGTGTTTCCATTCATTTGGCTATTTGTCCCTGTGCTTTATCCAACCTTGGTCTCAACAATTCTCACTCATATAAACCCTCCTCTTTCTCACTAACTGGACTCCTGGAGCTCCACCTGGGGCGTAGCCGTGGATCTCTGCACCCAGTTCCCTCAGTTGTTGGATGGGGTTTCTAGCACAACAATTAGGGTGTTTGGCCATCCCATCACTAGAGTAGGTCAGTTCAGGCTGTCTCTTGACCATTGCCAGAAGTCTATTGTGGGGGTATCTTTGTGGATTTCTGTGGGCCTCTCTAGCACTTTGCTTCTTCCTATTCTCATGTGGTCTTCATTTACCATGGTCTCCTATTCCTTGTTCTCCCTCTCTGTTCTTGATCCAGCTGGGATCTCCCGCTCCCCCAAGCTCTCTTCCGCTCGACCCTCGCCCTCCATTACCCTGACTCAAGTCCAGGCTGTTCATGTAGATCTCATCCATTTCTCCATCATTGGGTGATCCCCGTGTCTTTCTTGGGGTCCTGTTTTCCAGGTAGCCTCCCTGGTGATGTGAGAAAAAAAAACACATGATCATCTCACTAGATGCAGAAAAGGCATTTGACAAAATCCAACACCCCTTCATGATAAAAGGTCTTGGAGTGATCAGGAATACAGGGAACATATCTAAACATAATAAAGGCAATTTACAGCAAGCCCATAGCCAACATCAAATTAAATGGAGAGAAACTCAAAGCAATTCCACTAAAATCAGTAATGAGGCAAGGCTGTCCGCTCTCCCCATACTTATTCAATATAGTACTTGAAGTTCTATAGTACTTGAAGAGCAATAAGACAACATAAGGAGATTAAGGGGATACAAATTGGAAAGGAAGAAGTCAAGCTTTCCCTATTTGCAGATGACATGATAGTATACTTGAGTGACCCCAAAGATTCCACCAAGGAACTGATACAGCTTATAAACACCTTCAGCAACATAGCAGGATACAAGATCAACTCAAAAAAATCAGTAGCCCTCCTATATACAATGGACAAAGAAGCTGAGAAGGAAATCAGAGATACATCATCCTTTACAATAGCCACAAATGACATAAAATACCTTGGGGTAACACTAACCAAGCAAGTGAAGGACCTATATGACAAGAACTTTAAGTCCCTGAAAAAAGAAATTGAAGAAGATGTCAGAAAATGGAAAGATCTACCATGCTCATGGATAGGCAGGACTAACAGAGTAAAAATGGCAATCTTACCAAAAGCAATCTACAGATTCAATGCAATCCCCATCAAAATACCAACACAATTCTTCACAGACCTGGAAAGAATAATACTCAACTTCATATGCAAAAACAAAAAAACCAGGATAGCCAAAAGAATCCTGTACAATAAAACAACCTCTGTAGGCATCACAATCCCTGACTTCAAGCTCTACTATAGAGCTACAGTAAAAAAAACTGGTAGCTAACTTAAGAAACAGTACTCATAAGACAAGGTGGCTTGTCAGGTAAAGGTTCTTGCTGCGTAAGCCTGGACATTTTAGTTTGATCCCTGGAACTAATGTAAAAATGGGAGGAGAGAAACTACTTCACAAAGTTGTCATCTAATTTCTATACCCATATCATTATTCATGCATATACCCCCAAATTAAAATAATTAATGGAAATAATAATAATGAAGACAATAATAATAGTAATAATAGAAAACAGTACTCAGCACAAAAAACACAAAAGGAAGCTTGATGGAAATTTGAGAATGGATGTGGTTTTAGTTGACTTTAAGGGTATATTTCTACAAGCCATTATAAGTAAACACAGAAGTCATGCAATTTTAGCACATGCTTTTAATCCTATCACTTGTGAGGCAGGGTCTGGATCTATGTGAGTTCAAGGCCACACTGGAAACAGAGTCAGGTGTGGTGGCACATGCCTTAAATTCCAACACTAGTTAACCCTGGAGGTCTGTACAGACAGACAGGAAATGACAGAGTTGGGCAGGAAGAGGAAGTGATGTAGCTGGACACAGAGAGCAAATCAGATGACAGAACAGCAAGACATATAGGTGTGGGTAGACAGGAAGTAACTTGCATTTTGGAAGCTGCAGATTTGGTGAGGTGAGGTTGGCTGGTGGCTCTTTCTATTCCTCTGATCTCTCGTAGGCTTTAACCACAATTTCTGGCTCTATGTTTTTTATTTAATAAGACCGTTTAGAAATACATCTACACATATACTTATCTGTTTATCTCACCTGGTATATCTATTTATCTCTGACTCTGTTTTGGGCATGTGCTTTGCAGGATCTGGCTATGCTAGGTGTGAGTGAAACCTTATAATTTGAAGGTCATACAGATATTGAAACAAAGGTGTCATTATATGAATATACCCTTTCACTTCATCTTGTTTTCCCTTTCACATTCTCATTTTGTTTTTGCTTCTTCATTTGTTTTGTACAGCTGGACATAGAATCTGGGATGTCACACATACCATGCAAGTCCTGTCACATTTTCTTTCTCACTTTAAGGACTCCAAATCAATGTGCCTTTTCTACCATTCTTTTCTTTTCTTTTTTCAAACCCTTACACTGTTTCTTTCATGCTGAACATTCACTCCCCCTGAGATAGTGAAGGTCTTAAAGTTAAGTAGATGTTAGTCCTCGAGTCTTTATGAAGCACTTGACTTGCACCCTCTCAGTACCTGCACATCCAAACCCATCTTTCTGCCTTTACATCCTTTTATGGCTGCTTCTCCTTTGACATCTTCCAATGCTTCTTTTCCTTATTCTGTTCTCTTCCAGTCTCAGCCTCATTATAACCTGTTAGCTGATGACCAGCCATCATCTTTGCTGAGACCTTTCTTTGAAATTCTAGGTCCACATACTTAAGAGGTCATTGGACATTGCCACCCAAATATTTCATGGTCATTTTCCATTACGTTTATTTAAAGTTTCTTCTCTCTCCCACAACTCTTGTTTTTATCTTCTTTTTAATTCTAATTCTCCTTAATGATTCTTTTCTCTAGTTGGTTATCCCAGAAAGAAATTATCTTACTATTCCTCTTTTATCCCTCCTATCTATCTCAGTGCTTGTTAAGTTCTGAAAATGCACCCATGAGCTGCTCTTAGATCTGCCTGTCCTTGTTGCTGGTGACTTGCTCCATATCCTCATTATCTCTCTTGTAGACTCTTGCTATGAGTTTCTTCAGGCTCCCTTCTGTCAAGACTGCTTGCTTGTAATCAGCCTTTACCTTGTTGGCCATTTTCAAACTTCGTACTTGATCATTTTATTCTCCCCTTTAGAATTTCACAGTGCTCCTCTTTTGACCAATGATAAGTTTTTATACTGTTCCTAGACTATATAAGTCTTCTGGCCTAACCTCTTCATGGCTCTCTAATTTCACCTGACAGCCTTTGCATTTCAGGCTCTACTCACATTTAATATTAGCAGTTGGTTTTTTAATCCCCTCCCCATTTTTTTCTCATTTGTTAATTTTTTTTCTAGCCACCCATTATATAATACTTTAAGCTTATAGTTCCTCATTACATATCCTCAATAAAACATGCCAATCACTTCAAAAGAGCAACACATACTCTATCATCCATGTTCTGTGTGCTTACATAATATACACCTCATATTTAGTATGTTCTAAAATAGTCATCTCAAACACTACTTCCTTTCACATCCTCCCACATACCAAAGTATAACAACTTTGTTTCTGTTTGTTCAGTGAAAAACTCTGGAGTAATCCTTGATGCACCTTGTTCTTTTATTTCACATTAGAATTAATAAGCAAATCTTGCCAACTGTGTCATTAACATACTTCTACATACATGATACAGCTTACAAACTTAGCTCACACTCTGCCACACAAGTTTTATTATCATATATTAATTATACATGATATGGGTTTCATTATCACTTTTTCACATATGTATATAATTTATTTTATTCGTATTTATTACACCATTTATCTACCCCTCATTGGTCACTTGATTTCTCAGCTAGTTCCAGTTCTACTTTCATGTTTTTCACTCTTTTTGGTGAACTAATGATTGCTTTAAATTTTTTTTGGGGGGGTGTTTTGTTAGCTTTCTTTTTGACAGTTTCATAATTGTGTCAAATGCACTGTGGTAACATTTCATTCATATACAGCCCCTGTCATGTCCCCCTTGTTCCTACTGACCTTGTTTCAAAGTAGCCTCCCCTCCTAACATAATTTTTCTTTTCTTTCTTTTTGTTTTTTCTTTTATTTCTGTTTTTTAATTACTTATGCAAGTGATCAAAGCTGCTGTATGCTCATTATGATACTGGCCATATCATATCCTGAATGTGGTGGTTCACTCCTAATCTTCTGGCTCCCACACTCATCCCTTTTCTGCAGTTTTCTCTGGGTCTTGGACAGATGTCCTCTTTAGGGTAAATCACTCAGTGTCTGCTTTTTTTCAGTACCTTGACAGTTCTGACTCTCCACTTTGATCATTGCCCACTGCCACATAAGATTTTTCTGACAAAACCTGAGAACTTCACCACAGTTTCTCTATAACAAACAGAAGCTGAGTTGTTATATCTTGGCATGTGAAAAGATGTGTGTCCTGACACAAGCTAGAGTCATCCGAAAAGAGGGAACCTCAATTTAGAGAGAATACCTCCATAAGATCCAGCAGATGGGCATTTTCATAATTAGTGATTGATGGGGAAAAAGTCCAGTCCATTGTGGGTGGTGCCATGTCTGGGCTGGTGGTCCTGGGTTACATAAGAAAGCAAGCTGAGCAAGCTAGTAAGCAGCACCCCTCCATGGCCTGCCTCCAGGTTCCTTCCCTGCTTGAGTACCTGTCTTCACGACTTTTGAGAGTTAACTGTTATATGGAACTGTTAGTAGAATAATCCCTTTGCTCCCAAACTTGCTTTTTTAGTCATTATGTTTCATAACAGCAAGGGTAAGCCTGACTAAGACAAGTTGATATCAAGTTAGTTGGCATTGCTGTGACAGACATGACCATGTTGTTTTTTGGAGGATTATGGAAAGACTTCGGAACTTGGGATTAGAAAAGTCACTAAGTGTCAAGAGCTCAGTAAGATGTTCTGTAGGAACTTGGAAGATAGGTGTGTTGAGAGCAGTGCCGTTTGTGTGGCAAATTTTTTGTCTGGTCATCTGGAGCTGAAGAATCAGTTGTGACTAAAAAGAGACCAGCACCACTGAAGTGAAATTGTTGGCCTACTGGGACAGTTGATGCTGGCTAGCTGAAGCTGAGAAATTAATGGTGATTAAGAAGAGACCAGCATCTTTAAAGTGGAATATTCTGGGAACTGTTTCTTTACAGTCAACACATAGAAGCTGTGTTCCAGAGATAGCTAAGGCTGTACATCGCACTGGCAGGTGAACTTGATAAAGTCACTAAGTGATACTGGTCTTGAAGGCTTGAAGGGGTTATGGAAGAGCAGCTGAGGCTTGGCAGTGTGGAAGGACACAAGAGGTCATTGGTGAAGGCACAGTTGAAGGCTCAGGATTGAAGGGGTCATTCAGAAAAGGTGAGGCTTGGCACCAAGAAGAAAGCCTA